CGTGGGATGCTGCAAATATGGCCTATTATTTCCCACATTTATCTTAGTTAACTGTTTGGAATGTAATTTTTCTGGAGATAATAAATATTATTATTATTATTATTATTATTATTGTTTAATTCTCAGCAAATCAGCCACAGAATCTACAAGCAGAGTAGGTAGTTGATGATAGCCGAAAGCAATGACCGTTTTTTTTTTTTTTTGATTGATACTTTATTGATAGCTTGAAATGAACGAGGAATATGCATATGCAATATAAAATATATAAATAACAGTAACAGTTTTGAATCACCAAACTTACTGAACAATACTGACGATTGAGGAAATAATTAAAGGAGGGTTATTTTTCATGTTTCTGATTCGAATTTGAATGGATCAGATCATAACATACAAAATTAGAAAAAATATTGTGTGAAACACGTTGGGAATAGTATTATTGTGTATTTAGGTGGAAAGCTGACACATTCTCGGCCGACGGTGTAAGTTGACGGGCGAGGCGTAGCCGAGGCCGGCAAACACCGAAGGCCGAGAATGTGCTTTCCACCAAAATACACATACTATTTTTTCTGCGATCGGTTAAATACTTGGTAAATGTTTGTCTTTTGGTTCCAATTATTCAGCAATCCGAGAATCACTTTCCCGGCCTAGGCCGGAAAAGTGTTTCCCGTATTGTTATTCATTGATTCCTTAGCAACTATTGAAACATAATTAAAATAGCAGAATATTGAGTTTTGCGACCTGTCAACCGGTCAAAAATGCTTACATTTCTTGTCAATCGCAGAAAAACACTATTTTTCGTAACTCGCTTCCTTTTGCGGAACTCGCTACGCTCGTTCCGCATAAATCTGCTCGTTACGAAAAATAGTGCTTTTCCCAACTGGTTGCACAAATAACTATTGTGCATCCAGTTGGGAAAAGCACTTTTTTTCGTAACGAGCAGATTTCTGTTTCTAAAGAAAGCGAGTTACGAAAAATAGTGTTTCACACATTTTTTTTTCTAATTTTGTATATTATGATCCGATCCATTCAAATTCGAGTCAAAACCAAAAAAATTCCCTTCTATAATTATTTCTAAATCGTGAAATAAGTCAGAGATGTTTCCTATTCCGTTGCTATGGAAGCCAGTATGGTTTATTGTCAAGTCTGGCGTCTCAAACCGGTCATTGCTTTCGGCGAACATCGACTACCTAATCTGCTTGTAGATTCTGTGGATGATTTGCTAAGAATTGAATAGCATGGGGTTGGAAGTCTAATACAGCCGCTAAGGGCTATGTGGAAAATTTCATAACTGTAAGAAACAGAAAATAGTCATCAACATCCTTGGAGAGACTTCCATGGAGAAAACATTCAATTTATTCATTTAATTAATACTACACAAAAAACTATGTTGTCAATATCATCAATAATTATTCAAATTGTGTTAAGTATTAATATTTATAGCTAATTAGTTTTTTTTCCATACATTGTCATATTATGTAACTAAATTAAATAAAAAGAATATAATAACAACAAAGTACCTACTTCAAGTAGTTCAGCCCCCAAAGTATCACAGATTTTGTTCCTATATTTTTTGCAACTAAGTAATGGTGAAATTTACTTTTCATCACCAGTTGCGAAAAGTTTTACTTTTCGTAACTGGTGATGAAAAGTCAGGCATTTGATAACGTCAACGAGTTTTGAAAAGTGTCACCATAGAAAAGAGTGTCACTTTAAATCTCAAAATTAGAAAAAAAATAAATGTCATGAAAGTTTTTAAAGGTAGCCAACTAATAATGCTCTTGTTAATAATTATTTTCTCATTGAAGTATAGTGTGAGTCAGCAAAGTTTAATTTGTCTGTGTTTCTTCCAGTTACCTTATTGAACATGATGTCTGCTACCTAGTATTATGCGACAAAAATTTCTCAAAAAGATTAGCTTATTCCTACTTAGAAGACATAGCTCAAGAATTCCACGCACAATATGGTCGTAAAGTCAATACTGTCACCAGGCCTTATACATTTATTGAATTTGACACATATATTCAAAAGGCAAAAAAGCAATTCAGTGACTCCAGGTCGAGAAGAAATTTGAACGTTATTAATAATCAGTTGCAAGATGTTCAAAGGATTATGGTTCAGAATATTGATGACGTTTTGCAGAGAGGCACTGTATTGTCAGGTAAGAACTGATTTTGAGCTGATTGAAATCAAATCACCAGGCTCATTAAAAGCCAATACTAGGTATTTATACACCAAGTGAGTTAAATAAATGTTTATTCATTCATGAGAAGAAAGTTTAACCCACGAGCCCTAGCGAGTGGGTTAATTTTCTTCGAATGAATAAACATTTTAACTCACGTGATGTATACAAAATTTTATCCCATGTTGTGGAAATTTAAAAAATAAACTACAAGGAAAAATGCTGAGAGTGAGTTAAAAATATTTTAAATCACTGAGGTTTCAGATTTTTAGTTGGGCAGAGTGACTTAAAATGCCGAGAGTGAGTTAAAATGTTTTTAAATCACTGAGGTGATAAACGTCTATTTACCTTTATTGTTATGCGTTCAATAATGTCATTTTTAAACATCAAAATGGGATAAAATAAATGTTTCTATTTTGGTGTCATATCGAAGTCTTTTCGACACTAAAAGTAGTTTCGAAAAAAAGCTCTTTGTGACACTCCTTTTTTACTTACCGAAGGTTGGTAACACTGGCTGACTGATGGCCATCGAACTTACATTCGCGATAAAAAATAATAGAAGATTTCTATATTTGGCATGTAGTGTCACCAACCTAAACATATGAAATCAGGAAATATGAGAATATAATTTCCAAGAAAAGTTTTTTTTTTTAATTAAACAATAGCAAAAAAGAAAAAATAGTATAAAATATTCGTTTCATAAGACATTTTATGAAACTTGTATTTTAATGTACTAATATAATAGTTCAAGTAATGTGAATTAATACATGAGTAATTACACGATAGAACTTTTTCCATTTCCAAAAAAAATAAAATAAAAATGGTTGTACTAAATCTGAACAAACCCAAGGTGTATCTCAATGGTGTATAAACGCTGAATATACACTGATTGAAAAGAAAAAGGAGCCACTTCAGTATTTTAATATAATTTCTTTTTCGCATTAAAAGAAAAATTTCTGTTTTCCCAGCATACACACAGCTTCATATGAAACCGAAAAGAAAACGACCTTTTTTGTTTTGGTCACGGTTTGTTTATGTATTTGATAGAAAATTACAAGTTTGTAAATTTTCTCTCACATGAGCTGTGTTCCAACACAGCAGGAAACCGTACAATGTACCGTCCCGTTTCTGCGCAAAGCCTCAGATTCGACGTAGATCCGAAATTTGTATACAAAGTGTTTCCAAACCGTTCATGGGACGGTTTTTGACGTATTGGAACAGACCTATATTTAAATAAAAAGATAAAATAATTTGGTTAAAACTATAAATATTTTCAGAAGTGGCTCTTTTATCGTTTTAATCAGTGTATAAACAACATAGCTATTTTTCTAACGAGTGCGGAAAACTTCTTTCCGCAAGCGTTAGGAACTATATTTTTTCTACAAGCGTACTAAAGGTGATTTAACGAAAAGTGTAATTTAAATAAAATGCGACTGTGCAGCAGGTAAAATTGAAAATGTATTAGTGGGTATTAGGGTTGGCAAATGACCGGTCAAATATCTTTCGTTCAATTGACCTAGTATTTGACCAGTCATTTGTCAAATTGCTCTGGTCAAATACTCCAATAGTGGTGAGTGTGATGATATGACGGAAGCATTATTGCATCCATTTATTCCTGGTCTAGCCGCCAGGTATTACATAACAAGGGCAAATACAATACTCAAAGAAAGAGATAGACAAGATTTTTAATTGTTTATTTTGAAATATTCACCTGAAACTCCTGAAAGTTACATTTTCAAAACTGGTTTATTCACCTTCTGATAAACTCTCAAGTATGCAATCTGTAATCCCATTAATCAGCAAGTTATCGGCTGACCAAAAGAATTATAGAACGGCACATTAAGCATCAGATAGTCAGCAGCAAGTTTAGCTCAAGATGAATAAACCAAGCCTTAGTGGTTTTGTTTTTCGTTTCATAAAAAAAAGTGTTGATTTTGTCCTTTTTACAAATGGAAAGAAGTTTTGTTTGTTTAATTTTCTAGAGAAAAATTTTGCTTTATTTTTTATACAATAAACTATTGGTTTTGCAGGTAATTTTTTTTTAAATTTGTCAAATTGATTTGGTCAAATATTCTAGCATCGGTCAAATTGACCGTCATTTGACTGGTCAATTGACCGAGATGCCATCCCTAGTGGGTATTCATATCAAAGTAGCATGCGACGTGCGACTTGCTGCTAGAAAGCAAGAAGCATGGTACTTATTTTGGAAACTTTAGAAAAATATGGCCGGTTTCACACCGGAGTGGCGTCGCAAAAATACGGCAAACATGGAAGACGCAAGTTGCAACGTGCTTCCTGCTTTCTAGCAGCAAGTTGCACTTCGCATGCTACTTTGGTGTGAATGCCCACTTAAACAGTATTTATAAAAAAAAAGTAAAGGTGTATCAACAATACCAACAATTCGACATCACAGGGATTATTTCAAACTCTTCCACAGCAAATAGCTTGTAGAAAAACAATTTCAAAATTTCAGTTCAAGATTATAACACTTTTTTTATATTGTTTTTTTGGGAGAGGTTGGTGTTGGTAACGGGTCTTCAAAAAAAACTGCTATGGTTTGTATGGTATGGTATGGTATGGTATGTCTCAACGTACATTTGAGAAAGCAATATTTTTCTTTGATTCTGTCAGAGATTCTATCATTGAATTTTGTGCCAAAATAATGCGATGCGACATACGTTTTCGTAATCAATAAGAATGAAGACCTGTTACCATTAAAATGTATATTTATTGATATCGAAAATACTTGAATGTAAAACAGCTGCTCTAGTGAAGATATTCATGAATTTATACATGTATGAAAAAATTTCTCTTTCAGAATTGGACACAAAAACGCAAAATCTCTCGATGTTAACTCAAAAATACAAAAAGGATGCAACCTACCTAAATACTAAATCAATGTATGTAAAAGCCGCTATTGGTGGAATAGTGGTTTTGGTGGTTTTTCTTTACTTTTGGGTATTATAGATAGTGTGTTGTATTGTATTTATATTATGTATAGGAGCCAAAATGTAAATAAATATTTGGAACATGGAAATGACACATGGCTTGAATTTATAAAGCTTGGGGTTTGCCAATTTTAAATCACACTTTTTTCATATTCCATGGGCTTGATGAAACAATATTTCCAGAAAAAAGTTAATGATACATTGAATAATAAATATAATTTATGTATAATGGGGCAGTCCTTTAGCTTTCTATAAATTTTTGTACAATGTGATAATGATTTAGGGTACCTACTTTTTTAATAATTATTAGTTGGATAGTAATTGGATATTTTGTTATTGTACAGTAAAAATAAAGCACTCTAATAGATATGTTTGTTCAGCAAAATATGCACACCTTTTATTAATTCACACCCACTTTTTTACAGAGATCAAAAAAGGGGATACATATACAAACTCAATATCAACTGTGGATTGACAAAAAGTGTATTTACAACTTAACAAAAAACAAAATAAAAGAAAATTCTCCAAAAAATAACTAAGTTATAATAAATAAAAAAAAGATAACTCTACTCTTTCACCATTTGACCCGTTGCTCCCAAATTAAATTATTTTTTTCTTTTTCCTCAGTGTAGGTTTCTTTTCTCTTTAAGGCAAAAAAAATTATTCAGGATGTTCTTCATCTGAATATTCAGAGATAAAAAGTAAATTTTTCAGCGATTTGTACAAGCTTTCATCACTTTCAGCTCTCTTGATCAGATTTTCTATCACTTCATTACCAGTCTTGTAATCTTCAGTCAAATTATTTGCGTCTTCTTCATCTGAAAAGGTACAAAAGATGTATTGGACTGCTATAATATGTGTGCGTCCTATACACACATAAAATAGATTTATTATTTCAAACAAAAAGTTATTTAAAACATTGAATCCTCACCTGAATCAATAACAGCATATCCGTTTCCATGATCTTTAAGCATCACATGAATAGTAGGATATTCAATAATGAGCTTTTTAGCCAAATTCTCCTTTAAACTCAAAGTATAATCTAACTCGTAAAACTTCTTGCCGCTTTTCTGTTCAGCTTTCAAATATAACTTTAACCCAGATATATCAGCTGCCTGATAATATTGTAATTTTTCTTGCAAAACAGAATCTTCTTGTTTTAATAAATATTTACTAACCACTGTACCAAGTTTTTCAGTTTCGGGTACTCTTGCATCACTAAGACGTAAATTATCTGCATTCACAAATATCCATTCTATGTGCCACATTATACAGTTGGTTTTATAATGAAATTGAGTGGTATTGTTCCTGTGCCGTACAAACTTATATGGTAGAAATTTGAGTTTTGTTTGTCTTTGTTGAGCTGCATTACGAAGTTTGAAAAGATGCTAGAAAAATACAAAATACTTTAAAATAAAACTATCAACTCAAATGAATTTATAAAGAAATAGAAGCTATTTACTGCTGAAATCTGATTAGGTTCCATATGTCTCCTTCCAAATTTTTTTTTAATGATGTCCATGCTCTCGGAAATATTTTCCAACAATTTATAGTCACTCTCAAAATCCATATTTGAAAATTTATTTAGTGGTAAGAATTTGGTTTTATCTCTACTTCCATTACATTCAACTTCAAGTTTGTGGATCTTATTGCATTTCAGGGAACAAGTTTTTACTTCACATCTTGGGCAAGTGTATTTGGCATCGTGGAAACCGCATACTTCGCATTTGCCCAATCTGAAAAAAAAAATCGTTTTATCAGTATCAGATCAGAAGAAGGCTATAGGTCTATGCTATACTGTTCATTGGCAGAAAGATTTCAAAATCCTGTAGCCTTTCTTGGAACAAATGGGTGTAACAAAATTTCAATGAGTGGCTTTCAAGGGAAAGTTAGAAAATGTCATGGAGGGTATAAAGGCACAGTAATAGCACAGCATGTAATAGCATTGTTTATTTTATAAAATAAAGGAAAAAAACTGCTGGTACCACGCCCAACAAATTTATTATACATAGGTATTACATAGATGTTTGTTAAAAATTTAATATGAATGTATAATGAAATTTATTCAAAAAAATGTAAAATGTGGTATAATTTTTTTGAAATTTTGATAAATTTGATAAATCATAGGTATTACCGAGGGGGCGACCACTCCCGAAAAATATGTACATGTATTGCGGAAATCCTATGATTTCCAAATGATTGCAGCGATTTCGGAGAATTTTTCTAAAAATTTGGGATTTCGGAGGATTGCGAGGCGATTTCAGTGACTGCAGAGGGGATTGCGAACAAATTTTTGAGATTGCGAGGTGATTTTTGGGATTGCAAAGTGATTTCAGGGATTGCAAAGTGATTTCAGGGATTGCAAATATGATTGCGGAACATATTTCATTGGATTTTTTTACTCTCTTTTGACTTTTTATGATTTTAATTTCAGTTTTTCATCCATAAGTTTATACATAGGTACATATCTACAGGGTGACCCATTTTTGATGTTTTAATAGGCTATATGAAAAACCAGCAGTGCAGGGATATCAAAAATGTGGGAGCACATTCTGGAACTTTTTTCTAAGAAAATAACAATGGCGAGGACAAATCACAGCTAACTTGATATGTGTTTAGGAAATACAGGGCATTTTCCGAATTTTGTTCAATTTTAAAAGTTTCTATTTTTTTTATTAATCAAGATGTTCAATAACCAAAACTACTTTCTACAAGCAGTTTTACAAGTAGAATCCAGTATCATGACCAATTTTTTTTCCAGATGCCTCTGATTTTGGAATATTACCCAGAGTTGTTTTTTTTTTTCTAAATGGGACACCCCATGGCCCATATACTATTTTTTCATTCCATAGTTCTTTCTGAGTTGATTTCAATGATATAAGGTTTTCTAGCTTTATCTTCAATAGTTTTTAAGGAAAAAAATAAATTCCGTTTCTCCATAAGAAACAATGAGCTAGAAAGAGATAATAAGTCATGAAATAAAATTATGTGTTTATTTTTATGTGTTGCATATTTATCATTTCCATCACCAATTCAAATTAAAAAAAAAAAAAACTTGTTGAGATGTTGAATAGAGAATAGAAATTTGTAGCTGATTCATATATTTCAACTATCTCTTTCTAATTCATTGTTTCTTATAAAGAAACGGAATTTATTTATTTTTTCTCAAAAACTTTCGAAGGTAAAGCTATAAAACCTTATATCATTGAAATCAGCTCGAAAAGAGCTATGCAATGAAGAAATAATATACGGGGCGTCCCAATAAAAAAATACAACCTAACACCAGGGTTACGAGTTACGATTCCAAAATCGGTGGCATCTCAAAAAAAAAAAAAACTAGTCATGCCACTGGATTCTACTTGAAAAACAATTTAGCCGTAAGTTGTCTTCCCCATTGTTATTTTTTCAAAAAAAATCTCTGCTGGTTTTCGATATAGCCCATTAAAACATCGGAGATGGGCCACCCTGTATGTACAGGGTATTTGATTATATTTGGCACCATACCTACACCCTTTATGATTTAAGATAGAAAAAAAATTTAAATACAAAACTTGACAGTTTTTTTCTATATTTTCTTTTAACGTTATCAGAAAAAACAAAATCGCATCGGAAAAGGGAGAAACGTAGACAACTTCAACTTTTTTTAATGGAACACCCTGTATATTTTGCGATAAAATGAAAGATCTTTTCTTCCTGATTCCAAATATATATATACAGTGTGATTTTTTAAGTGTGCAACATATGGGGATTTTTTTTAGTAATAGCACAACCCAAATGCAAACAAGGCCAAAAGTTGGTGCATGTCTGATAATCATATTAGGTGCACTTAGAATGGTTGCAAGTCAAACAGCATACAGGGTAGCTCAAACAATATCAAAGCTGGCACTGTAAAGTACCCTTATTTTAGAAAACTCAGCAAAATGTTATAGAGAAAAGTTGTTTGGAATTAAAAGTTATGCCTAAATACCAAAACATAGCCTCCTAAGATTTTTTTTATCTTCTTTCGAAAAAAATCTATAATTTCTATATTTTTTTTATTTTTTATTTCCGCCCTTGAGACTTTCAAAAATTAATTAAAATCAAATCAATTTTATATAACTTTGTTCAAATTCAAGCATAGTCGAAGTTGTCTACGTTTCTCCATTTTCCGATGCGATTTTGTTTTTTCTGATACCGTTAAATAAAAATATAGAAAAAAACTGTCAAGTTTTGTATTTAATTTTTTTTTCTATCTTAAATAATAAAGGCTGTAGGTATGGTGCTAAATATAACCAAATACTCTGTACAGGGTGTCAAGTTATGAAGTATCATCACCTTTATAACTTGACACCCTGTATGTACCCGGTGTTTTTTTATCTTTTTGATCACCTGTAACTTTTTTGTTATTGAAGTTATCAAGGTAAACAAAAAAACAAAATGTAGGGTTAAGCCAAGTTTTTTTTTCAAGTTACACATAAATCAAAACACTATCAATTTTTTGACATATAAGCCTACATTATATTTTTTCAAATGGAGCACCCTGTATATTTATGTGTGTTCGATAGAATATCTTATTCTGATTACAATGATATAACACACTTCATATTCTGGTCCACTCGTGTTTGACAAATCGGCAAAAATATGAAACTTTCGAAGTGAAGTTTATTAGGCGGGGGTCATATTTGGGATGAGAATTATTGAGAGCATATAAAAATTTCATATATTTTTGCCGATTTGTCAAAAACGACTGGAAGAAAATATGAAGTGTGTTATATCATTGTAATCAGAATAAGATATTCTATCGAACACATATAATTATAATATACAGGGTGTTCCATTTAAAAAAAATATATAATGGAGGCTAATACGTCAAAAAATTGATAGTGTTTTGTTTCATGTGTAACTTGAAAAAAAACTTGGCTATTAATCCTACATTTTGTTTTTTTGTTTACCTTGATATCTTTAAAAATAAAAAAGTTACAGATGATCAAAATGATATCCAAGATAAAAAAAAACACCCGGTACATGTCCAACTGCCTAACTGCCACTTTCAAAAAAGGTTCAATGATTTAGAAATACGCCCAATATACCAGGTGTCATAAAGATCTGCATAATATTTTTCATTGGATAATGATATTTCCGCTTGTTTCATGTGAGATCCAGCATTCGATTCTTTAAAAAAAAACTGCAGAATCCGAAAATGAGAGCAACAAAAACTTGATGTCAATTATCAATTTACCGCAAAAACGCGCGAAATCAACAGCTGATTTTTCATCCCCACTAGAGTTGATTTTGAGCGATTTCAGAGATTGCAAAGGTGATTGCATAGGATTTCAGCGATTGCGGAAAACGATTTCGGGACTGCAAGAAGGATTTCGGATATTGCGAACTGACTGCGGGATTTCAGAATGATTTCGGAGATGATTGCAAGTGATTTCAGGCCAAATGTACACGTATTGCAGGAAGTGATCGCCCCCTCGGGTATTACATTACTATTTTGCAAAAGCTAGGTATTTTGTTTTATTGAAATTTCCAAAGTTGATACATAATATTTACTCTATGCAAATGAATTGTTCTCTAATTTGATTTCTAAGAATATTTAAACAGCAATATTATAAAACAATAAGGCATATTCAGTTCCATATAAGCATATAGAGCAATTTTTATAGATTTTTTTATTTATTTTCCTTTGAAAAAAATCTATAATTTCTATAAGTATGTATTTTGTTTTTCCGCCATTATTACTTTCAAAAATTAATTAAAATCAAACCAAAATTTGGTACCTACATAATACGCGAGGAGCTCTCCCGCAGTTAATTTATTAACTGCTTTATATTATTATACTTAATATTTTTTGTGTGCCTATCTACGCGTGGATTTCAATTTCGTCCCATAAGCTCCAGCAGGTTGCAGGCGACGTGCAAACATTCTTCACTTTTTTGCGCAGATTAGGGGTTGTACCGTGGATTAGGTTCGTTTAAAATATTTTATTTTAGTTTGTGGTGTGGTGCCTGACAAAAAAATGTTCAAAGTTTAATTGACCTTTTCAATTTTGAAGCCTCTCTCTCTGGCGTCAGACTGTCAGACGCCAAAAGAGTATGAAAACAATGATTAACAGCTATTGACAGTGGTTTGTTGACAAGAGTTTTATACGTGTGAGACTGGAAACTATTATTTCCTCGGGTTTTTCAAGGTTTTTTCCTAACAATGGTGATTGTGTGTAGTGTACCATTTTCGTGAAAATAATTCCTATTCACCGGCGGACGTGTCTTTCCATAAGTTTTCATCAAATCCTACATTTGTCAAAATTTGGATACACAAAATCAGAACTGATACTCGCAAAAGTAAGGGAAATCCACGACCCATCAAGTATACAAAGATATCCACGTTCAAGTTTAGTTTGCGGAAGCTGTTTGCTTCCCACATTTTCTTTCCAATTTCAAATTTCACCATTCTATGTCGGTCATTGTCATTTTCCATTCACTGAACAAAGATACCTAACTCATCGGTGGAGTCACCGATTAGAATAAAAACCAGAGGGGATTGCTAAACACCCTATACACTTGACATTGACGAGAAAGCAAATGTTGGCGGTAATCTGAATGTTTTCATACTTTATCGTCCATCTCTTTTAATTGAAAACGTCAATTGCAGAGCCAATCTTTGGTCGATCATTATCCGATAAGGCTGAAATTGAAATTGCAACCCACACATTTCTGATATAGGAGCCGCCACTGGCGTGACGTCATCTGCGAGCTATTTATCGCGTACAGTATTGTCCGTTGCATGGTTTTTGAGCTACGAGTACTGAATAGACACAGGGAACAATGGGCTATTGCTGCGTTGTCATATCAATAATATTTATTATTACATGAAAATTAATGATATTTTATTGCAATTTTCATGTATTAATAAATATTATCGATATGACAACGCAGCAATAGCCCATTGTCCCCTCTGTCTATTCAGTAGTCTTAGCTCAAGAACCATGCAACGGACTATACAAGCGATGATGTCGGTTGCTAGGCAACCTCAAGTCATGGAAGTAGAATTCTAGTAGAAGCAGAAGAAAACTTGTTTTATGAAAATATCATAAATATCACATATTGGATATTATCTCGGAGCAGAAACATTTTTGAAAAAATCCCTGAAACATGTCAACTATAATTTGAAGGGGGATGAGTTTTTATGCAAAATTCACCATCCCTCTTTCAACCCTTCAGCCCCCAGAGCCACCCCCTAGAAAATTTTAAATAGGAAGGGGGGTCAAGTGATACATCATTTTGGAGGGTTTTTAATTCCATACATTTTGGTACAAAATTTTAATCGCTATAAGTTCAACTGTTTTGGAAATATTGACAGTTGAAAATTGACTTTTTTGCAACTTTGACGGGCTGTAAAACCTTAATGGTTAGTTTTAGAGGAAAATTTAACTTACATTTTTGTCTTGAATTTTCATAAACTATCATTTGACAGGAACTTCGAATTTAATCCATGATCGAAAATTCCGGTTGAAAATTTAATCTCCGGTTGAATTCAAAAATGGTGTCAAATGATAGTTTTTGAAAATCTAAGGTGAGAATGTAAGATCGGTTTTCCACTAAAATGAACCGTTAAGGTTTTACAGCCTGTCAAAGTAGCAAAAAAGTCAATTTTCAACTGTCAATATTTCTAAAACAGTTGAACTTAGGAACTAAAATTTAGTACCAAAATGTATGGAATTAAAAACCCTGCAAAATGATGTATCACTTTGACCCCCCTTCCCATTTAAAATTTTCTAGGGGGTGGCTCTGGGGGCTGGGAAATTTTTCTACTACGAGATAATAGGGGTGGGAAGTTTTCAAATTGACACCCTTTATATAATTATATCATAAAATATTGGATATTTTGATATTTATATAAATATCATGATATTTTTGCACCCTGATATGAACCAATTAGAATACACCTAATGATGAAAAAATATTCTCTTCGAACATTAAATATCTTGCTCGATATTAAACTGATTAATGATACAAGTTCTACACGTCCGGACGTCTGTGGATTCCAAACTGGAATCCCCGGCTTTTCGACCAATCAAATTCTCCTTATTTTCGGAATACACGGGCCGCAACAAGACAATCCAAACAAAACATGACTGACGTCTACTGTCAGATCACGAAACTTTCATTTAAAAAAAAATCAAGGGGGGTTTAGACTTTTGATGATTGTTATTTTTTACAAAAAACTAATGATTTTCTTCCAAAAAGTTCGAAGAGAAAGTATAGTCTTTCTACTCGCAAATAATGGCTATTATTCACTCGAATGATTCCAACACTCGCCTTGAATGATTCCAACACTCGCCTTCGGCTCGTGTTTTAATTTTCATTCTCGTGAATAATAGGCATCATTATATGCTCGTTGAAGAATATCTCGAAGAATATAGTATTATAACTACTTTCTCAAGCTTGTTGCTTGGAAACAGATCGACGCCCTACTGTGTCTTTCGTAACAAATATGAAAATCAACTCGTGCAGTTTTTAGAATACACGCTTTCATCTAAAATTATCAGTAATTTTGAAATTACCCCCAAAAATATCAGGTAGTGATTTCAGAGAATTGTCTCGGCGCTGCCCGCTGGCTCGACTATAACGTTAATAATTATATGTATCGCATCTAAAATCAGTTAAATCTTACCTAGGCAAAGATGTTTCGACTTTTTCAGAACATGAAACCGAAACCACTTCCGCCACAACCTCCATCCCAGTTAATATTTAAATTTAACAGAAACCTACACGCGGCAACACGTGGATTTAGGAAACGTTGTTTTAAACAATTTATAACAAAAAATGAATTGTAAAAAAAAAACAAAAAACGGATTTTTTTTTTCAAATCCTGAAAATGTAGAGAATCCAAATTTTATTTTAAAAAAAATTGGGTTATGTAGAAATCTTAAAATCTTAACATGTGATTGAGGGAGCTGCGTTCAAGAACGTGCTTCTTGGCGGTGGGAAAATTATTTTAAGAGCGGTCTGTTTCAAGGCTCATGTTTGTTTTTTGAATGAAAAAATTAAATAATATATACAGAGAAGTTAGGTTGTTTGACAAAATCGATATCCTTCATTTTACGGTTGAAGCCCCAATAGTTGTATTCCTTTCACACCTAGGAGGAGCTCCGGAACAGCTCCGGGGCTTCACGCGCCTATTCCTTTCGAAAAGTGTTTGTTGCACTACGCATATGTTCCCTGCAAATCGGGGGCGACTAAGCACCGAAGCGAGTAGCTCGAGTGTTTCAAGCTCTTGAAAGGAATACAACTTAATATAGGCGCGTTCGTTTATTCCCTCGAAGTGCGGAGCGTGTGGAGCTTGAGCTACCTTGGACAGAGGTCAGCTGATCATCGAGCAAACCGAGCTTGAAAATCTTGAAATAAAAAACGAACGGGTTTGTGTATCTCGAACCATACAACAGCTGCGCTCTGTGCGCACCATACGCTCGAAATTTTGAATGACGTTTGTTTATTTTCTTTCGAGCGTGTCGAGAAAAACTTTTCGCGTTCGTAAATACGTCGAGAGAGTGTATCGAGCTCGCTCGATTCGCTCGGAATTTTTTGATGGTGTGGAGTGTGCAGCGAGCGCCAGTTTAAAAAAATTCTAAACCTACTAAGCTAGTAAAAGTAAAATTGATTTCCTTCGTGCGTGCAGAAAACGCGTTTTCACGCACCGATTTGCGTGGAAGTACCACTTTTCCGCACAGCGTGCATGAGAATAAATTTACCGCACGAAAAGTTTTTCATGCACTGTTTTTTTTTTCAATTTTTCTCTTACCATAAATAATTAATCCTACTCATAGGTAATAAAAATAATTGTTAATATGCTGTTATTATAAACTTATTGCTTAAACTTAATTAAAAAATCACATTTTTGACCATTTCCTTTATCAGTAGAGAAAAAAACAAACAATTTCCGTACGCTCGTAGAAAAAATATTGTACCTAACACGAGCGTGAGGTATTTTCCGCACTTACGGTTTGCACGAACTCCGCTGGCTCGTTCCGTTGCGTGTGGAAAAATATAACTACCCACTTATCCACACTTGATAGGTGAATAACTATTTCGTTTTTGTTAGTTCAAAGTTTTTTAGTTTTTGTGAGTGTATGACGCAATCGAATTTTCGTGACGAATGTAGTTCATTAGTTTAAATTTTGTATTACAAGATCCACCAGAGATCTGGGTTTTGTGCATGGGAAGTTAGGGCATCAGATCTGGGGGGGCTACAGCCCCAGGCCCATACTGCCGCCCTCAATTAAAACGCGGTATCTGCAGCAAACATGAAATGAGAAAACGGCGCCTACAGTTTTTTCTCTGGATTTTGAGTTTGAATTGATTTCTTATCACGAAAAATGTACAGTGGTAGTTGGAAATATAGTTAAATTAAATGTTAAATTTTTAGGTGAAAATCGCCGTAACTGCATTAATAGTTGAGATAATGAATATACAGTGAACTTCAACATAAAAAAAACAAATTGGTCAGTTTATTGTACAAATTCAACATAATATAAGTACATAATTTTATAAAACACTTGATTAGATCATATCTTTCTCTTTCCCACTGTCAAATGCAGCTTGCTCAGTCAAAACGCGGTAAATACATGACGCGCACGTGCACATACCGCGATTTAGCTAAGGATGTTACAGATACCGTGTTTTAACTGAGAAATCATGTCATTTTTGCAGATACGGCAAAATATTTATATTGTGTTTTGCTAGTAAATGAGTAGTTACCGCATTTAGCAATTGTAGGTAGATAACAAAACCTGTTAGCTATCTCAAATAGGAAAACATCTCAATTTCTCAGATTTTTGTAGATGCCGCTTTTTAATTGAGGACGGCAGCATAGGGGGAAGCCCCCCGCAAGCGCTGCCGGAGTCAAGAAAAATGTTGGGGTGCCACGCCCAAAAACGTTCATTTCGACCCACAAAATGAACGATTATGGGCGTTCTGAGCCTTCAAAAAATAAACAAATTATTGTTTATTTCTGAAAGTACAGGGTGTCCGAATTTGGATGGTTTTAATAGGAAACATCAATTTCTGAGCAAGATACAAAAAAAAGAACCCCCCACTCTGAGGCTCAAATTTCTTGAAATTTTGATTGGTGCAAACCGCATTTTGAAATCTTCAACCGTTTAGCCGCTAGAGGGCGATTCTCGATTCTGAGCAATAATGTGAAACCATCATAACTTTTCTGTTTATGAAAATTATTGATTTTCGTAAAAACTTTCTAGAAGCACTTTTTAAAGCAGAATTCAGTGACGTTCTCAGTTTTTTTCTAGTTGGTCCCAACTCCGAGATATTGACCAAAGTCTGGTTTTTTTCAATAGGACACTCTATATATTAATAGCTCATTAGAAAGCTCGGCTTTTTCTGATTTCAATGATAAAAGTTCGATAGGTTTATCTCTAATAGTTTTCGAGAAAAAAAATTATTTCGGTTTTTGTCATAAGAAGCAATGTGTAAGACCCAATCCTACTTTTTTATCCTTTATGCAAATATGACAAATTCAACCTTCATAGACACTTACAAAATTGAAAATTTGATAACCCATTTTCAAGTTGTTGGTGCTCATCTAAAGCCAAAATCAATATTACTTTCACTCATTTAATTAGGTAGTATACCACCAAAGTTGGCTATTTTGCAGGTGTCTATGAAGATTGAATTTGTCATATTTGGATAAAGGATAAAAAAGTAGGATTGGGTAGTGGAAGTTTCATTTCCATAAGTTGAACCATTTTCGTACAGGGTCCGATCAAAAACTGAAACATTAATTTTCGAAAAACGCGTTTTTCCTAACGTGCATTAATTCTTCTCTTTTATTATTTATCGGATACCTCTTTGAATAAGGAGCAAATAACCATGATTTTTTTTGTTCTGGCATACTCAGTTTTTACGTAAAATACAAACAAATAGGAATTACGACATATTTTTGAGCCACCCTATTTCAAAAACTATCAATTTTTGACATAGGGTATGTTAGACAAAAGTTATTTAGAATTGTTCAGAGAGTCCAAAAAAAAGATAATATACAGGGTGTCCCATTTAAAATAACAAAGTCAATACCATTTCCGGTGAAACCGGAAAAGCCATTCAATTGTTTTTATATTAAAATTGTTCAAAATATTCAACCCTATCGACATACGGAATTGCATATTTCTATCTCGAGCCGTTAAGGAATGCCGCCGTGGGTAGTAGTTTCATTGTCACCCGGTATAGGGTGTCCCATTGAAAAAAATCGTATTTTGGTCAATATCTTGAAATCGAGGCCGATTAGAGAAAAACTAAAAACGTCACTGAATTCTGCATGAAAAGTGCTTCTAGGAAGTTTTTACGGAAATCAGTTATTTTCATAAACAAAAAAGTTATGAAGATTTCACAGTATTGCTCAAAATCGAGAATGGCCCCCTAGCGGCTAAACGGTTGAAGATATCAAAATGCGGTTTGCACCAATCAAAATTTCAAGAAACATGAGCCTCGGAGTGGGGGGTTCATTTTTTTGTATCGCGCTCAGAAATTGACGTTTCCTATTAAAACCATCCAAATTCGGACACCATAGGCGCCGGAATTTCAAAATACCTATGTGGGCTCGGGCTCCAAAAATTAAAATAAGTAGAATCAATTAGATAGACAGGAATAAGATACTAGATACATAGACCTAAACTAAATGGGACCAGTTGGCAGATACCAATTTCACTGCAGGATCGATACGCTAGATCATTGATTGTCCCTGCAGGTCCCTGTCTATGATTAAAATTCGGGCATCTTCGACAGCTCGGCTATATTCGGCTTTAGCAGCACCATTGGCGTAGCCAGGATTTTGCCTTGGGGCGAGGCGAAATTTACAGGAAGTGATCCTTGCTTGCAGCACCGCCGTATGCGCTGCTAGAAAGAAAGCGCCGCAGGCGCGAAATTTTTGGGTCCTTTCGCGGTATTTATGGGACTTCTAATGGCGGAGATGCGGCCATTTGAACAAATTATGATAAGAATAATTTATAGTAGAACGTGAAACCGAACGGAAAGGAAATAAAAAACACAACAAAATATTCAAAATGTTTGTTGAAGTATAGGTACAGCAAAAACAACAAAAACATTAAACACACAAGTTTGATATAAAAATGAATAGTTAGGAACAGAAACAATATATTTCTGTGCCTACCCATTACACCAGTGGCGGTCCATACAAGATTTTCTAGGGGGGGGTAATGGGTGACGGGAAAATTATCAAGTGTCGCAACGTACCGCCGGAGGCGAATTTTTTTTTGGGGTGCCACGTCCAAATTTGCATTTGAAAGTCGTTTAAAAAACACGCTTCGGGTAAAAATGTTTCCCGATGCCATCAAAATAGTTATACAGGGTGTCCACTTAGTGCGATATCTTCTGACAGGGTGATGCAAGAAAAAAAAATAAAAATTCAAAGTTGTTTGATTCTCTAAGGTGAATTACTTAAAAATAATTTTAAATATAGGTACAGGGTGCTCTGTTAATGGGGTATGCGACAGAATTTTGTTATTTTTAAATGGAACACCCTATATTTTAGTACATTCTATTGTTCTAAAAATCCTACATTCTTTTTGTTAGGAATCATTTATACCAAAACTCAACGGTTTTTAAAATATTTAATATTTTTTCAAAAAATTACAGCTTGCATGTGTCAACAAAAACAAACACATTTCGTCCATTGGAGATCCTATCAGCTAAAGCTTTTGCAGGTTGTTAGTGCATAATGTCGATTTTAATCTAATACTCCAACGGACTTTGAGTTGGTGCCTCCCTACATTAGAACGCCAATAATTACTTGACGTTACACCTGCCATATGAAATGCCCCCTCGCTCCTCATACGGAAAGTGTCAGTTTAAAAACGACGGACTTCACTCACATTTACCACAAGGTCCGATGAAAATCTGTCAACATTCTACAGGGTGTTCGCAATACCGTACACAAAACCAAACATTTCAAACAACCCAACCATAACTTTATGACGTCATCTGGGGTGCCTCAACATAATGCAAATCTGCATAAGGCACCCAAGATGCGTCAGCAAGTTACCAATTACCATAGACAACTTATGAATTTTAGGAACCTTGGTAGGTACATCGGTACTAGTGAGCCTATCATATTCATAGGATGCCTTTAATCCTTTACCATGTAAAATGTAGAACTTGTCTTTTGTTGAAATTTTGTTGTAATTAAAAAATGTATAAAAAAAATCTCTGTCTG